TCGATGTCTGGATCTGTGGTCTTCGATTCCAGTGTCTGTTTGATTCCCCAACTACAATAATGCAGATGAACTTTAAGTCATGAGATATTAATGATAATAATCCTTGCATTTGGCACAGCGCCTTTCAGGTCAGGAGGATGTCCCAAAGCGCTTCACAGGATTTACTGGTTAGTGGAGTTGTGTATTTGTGGGAGGATGTGGCAGTCAGTTTTCGCCCAGCAATGTCCCACAAACAGCCATAAAATGAATGACCGTTTTTTTATTTGGAGGGATTTGTTGGCCAGGACACCAGGAGAAACTCCCTTCTCTTTTTGAATAGTGGCATGTGATCTTTAACACCCGTCTGAGCAAGCAGACGAGACCTCAGTTTAATGCTTCATTCGAAGCCCGGCACCTCTGACAATGTAACACCAACAACCGCGCCCCACACCACCCATCGGCATTGCCTTGCAGCATCAGCTTAGACTATGTGATTACAAATTCCAATGTGATGGTTGAACTCACAACCTTCTGACTCAAGATTGCTAAGCATAATCTCTTAAAAGCAGACAGTTGTTCACCGTACCGATTTACTGCTGCGTCCAAGCATTTGCCTTGAGAAAAGTGCCTTGAGCACTTAAGAAAAGCCACGGTTTCTCAAAAGATATTTTTCCTTGAGGTAAGCACTGCTGTACTCAAATAAACTGAGGAGGAGCGGGAGGTGGGCGGACGAGGAACAAATATGTCTTCTTTAGTGATTGTGGTGTGGTGCTATGTCATTGCATTGCAAAAGAAAGATCCCTGTACAGTTGCCAATTGTTGAACTGCTGTCCGTCGTGTCTAGACTCCTTGCTTATTAATGACAGTTCATCATCTATTCTCACTCAACTATGCTTGGAGCATGTACTGTACCAATCCAAACAAAGTAAAGAGAAGCGGGTTCAGAGCTGGTTTGGTGCCCCAGTGCTCAGTGCTGCAAAGGCTGTCAACAAAGCAAAAATGAAGGAAGGAAAGAGACTGCATCAAATTCACTCGTTGCCAACATTTTCAGCTGCGATCGCAGGATCTAACGATGTGCATCAAATATAAATAACCTGAACCTTGTTAGACGTATCCAGTAGTTTGCCTGCAAAGCACACAGTCACTAAACTTTGCAGTGTATCCTCAAAGCACTTTGAGACGTATCAAGTTCAAGTTTTTTTATTAAATGTCAATTTCAATAGCATAATTCTGATGGGTTTCGATTTATCCCATGGATGTAATTGGTTAAATCAACACTTTAGATTATGTTCAATTTCGCTCCTGGTATTTGGTAGCACTCTTCTGAGAACTCACTAGATTTGCTTGAGTGGGTCGCACCAGACCTCTCTCTTTCTTGTGTTAATACAACTTGACCAAATTGTAAACAGTTTTCTTTCTGCCAGGATTTTACTTTGGTCATTCAAGGCAAAGTAAAATATTTACAATAAGTGGGGAACACATACACATTCTGTCCAAAGGCCAATGGTAAGCCTCCTGTGGCAGGTGTCTCACTGTGACCCAAAATATCTCATTACAAACTGTCTATTGACATGTGGTGAACGCGAGTCAACATCAAACTGATATCAACACACGCAGCAAATGTGGATATTACTCAGAAGGTCTGTGTGTCAGCCTGGCACAGTAGTAACATTCTCACCTCTGAGTCAGAAAGTTGTGCGTTCAAGCCCCACATTGGGACTTGGAAGCATATTGTCTAAACTGACACTCCCAGCAGCGCTGGGGGATGTTGCATTGTTGGAAGTGCCATCTTTCAGGCGAGACGTTGGCCTGAGATCCTATTTGCCTGTTCAAGTGGATGTTAAAGATCCCATAGCGTTGTTCGAAAAGAGAAGGGAAGTTTCTCTCTCCTGGTATCCTCACCAACAATCTCCCCAAATAAAAAAATGTGGTCAATCAATCCATGACTGTTTGTGGGACACTGCTGTGTGCAAATGGCTGCCATGTTTGGCCCACGAAATACACATTACAGTGTATCCTGTGAAGTGCTTTGAGACATCTCAACGATGTGATAAGGTGCTATATCAAATGCAAGTATTATTCTTATTATAATAGAATTGAGGCTTCACTGCATTCCAAAGACTTTCAAAAGTTCAGAAACTTTAAGAAACAAAGTATAATGTAACAGAAAAAATTCAACAGGGAATGAAAAACAAATTCAAAGCGGAGCAAGATAAATAATTCCACTATGGATCATTGATTTAGGAAAAAGTGAGAGGTGAATTTACAATTGTGAACAGTTTACTCAGATATCCATAGTGGGGGTAATTGAGAGCCTTTTCAATACTGATATGAAGAGCACAGAGTTAAGCAGCACTCAACATTGAGTTAGAGAGCAATAGACCATTCTTCACAAATCTGCTGGAATCATTTGAGGAGGTACTGGAATCCATTGCTTGTCCGATGGATATAAAGTTCCATAGAGTAGTGGTTAGAGCACTCACCCAGCAAGGAAGAGGACCTGTGTTTAACTCCTGTGCAGGGTAAAACCTTAGGCAACTTTCCTTATCCATGCGCCTTTGTTTAGAAACCTGGTTGTTAGTCAATTGGCAGATTGCTTTCCGGGTGTAATAATCCCTCAAAAAAAAATTGTCACTCACTCCACAACTGTTTGAGGAACATTGCTGTGCACAATTGGCTGCTGTGTTTTGCCCACAAATACACAATCTACTTTACAATACATTCTGTGAAGTGCTTTGAGACGTCTCAATGACGTGATAAGATACTATATCAAATGCAAGGATTATTATTATTTTCAGATAAAGCTTGATAAGTTTCCTCGTGTGAGAGCTTTAAAGAAAGCTGAGGATGACCGTTTATAAATAAAGGCATAGAGTACAAAAGCAAGGACGTTCTACTATTCACTAGGCCTTAGCTGGAGTATTGTATCCAGTTCTGGGCACCACACTTTTGAAAGAATATCAAGGTTTTGGAGAGGGTGCAGAGGGGGTTTACCAGAATGAGAAACTTTAGTTAAGTGGAAAGACTAGAGAAGCTGAGATTGTTCTCCTTAGAGTAGGGAAGGTTAAGGGGAGATTTAATAGAGGTGTTCGAAATTATGAGGGATTTTGATACAGTAGATAGGTTGAAACTGTTCCTCTGGCAGGTGGTTCAGTAACCAGGACACAAAGATTTAAGATAATTAGCAGAAGATCCAGAGGGGAGATGGAGAGAATTGTTTTTACCCAGAGAGTTCCTACAGTCTGGAATGCATTGCCTGAAAGGGTGGAGGAAACACATTCAATAACAACTTTCAAGGGGGAATTAGATAGGTACAAAAACAACAAATTGTCCTTCATATATTGCAGTTCATGCGGGGTAGTGTCTAAGAGTGGCAGGGCCTGACAACAAGCCAGAGGGAGAGGGAGGAGGTGACCATAAGCATGATCAAAAAGGCAGGTCTTTAGATGGGATTTGAAGGTGGGGAGGGAGGGGGCAAGGCAGAAGAATTGAGTTAGAAAGTCTCAGAGTTTCAAGTCATAGTGGATGAAGGCAGTTCGACCAATGGTGGAATGAAGGACACAAGGGACAAACAGGGATGGAGTCTGCCGAGTGGAGGCATCAGGTGGTTGAGTGGGGGGTAAGCAGGTTAGATAGGTAGGGAGGTGCGAGGGAATTAAGTGATTTGAAAACAAGTGAGAGGATCTTGCAAATGATTAGTTCGGTGAGTAGGAGCCAGTGGAGCCTGGCAAGGATTGGTATGATGGGGGTACGGAGTTTTGTGTGTGTGAGTATCCATCCGGTGAAGTTTTGAATTAATTGGATTTTGTCTATCGTGGAGCTGGGGAGACCTGCGAGAAGGGTAATGGAATAGTCCAGCTGGGAAGTGACAAAGGCATGGACGATTTTTTCAGTTGCGTCAGTTGTGAGGTATGGATAGAGTTGAGCAATGTGGCAGAGGTAAAAAAANGTGGTCCTGGTCAGGGAACAGATGTGTGGTGGAAAGGAAAGCTGGGGATCGAATTTGACACATAAGTTACGCATGGTTTCGGAGAGTCTGAGGGAGAGGTTGAGGAGTTCAGACCTGCAGGAGAGAAGACAAGGGACAAGAAGAGAAGGGATCAAGAGTAGAATTTTTAAGGAGGGGAGTGATGACAGCTATTTTAAATGGGAGTGGGACTGAGCCTAAATTAAGGGACTAATTAATGGTGTCAGTGGGCAGAGGAGGGGGAGTTGATTGACCAACAGCTGGTTTAGGAGAGGTTTGAGGCAGCAGTTGGTGGGTTTCATCTGGGAGTTGGAGGATGAGAGGGAGGAAGGAGAGATGGGGGCATAGGAGTGTAGGTAGGGGCCCATGGTAGGAGCTGTAGGAAGACGAGTGGGTGATGGAGAAGGAATGGGGAAGGGGAGGGTGGAGGACATGGGGCAGGAGGAGGAAGCGACCCAGCGGATGTGGGAAGATGTCCTATCTCTCCCACCGTCTCCACTTTGTCTCCACTAATGGTTTCTCCTCCAGCCTCTGTACCGTCAAGGATTATTAGTTTTATTATATTTTGTTGAGAGACTAAAATATGTCTTTTTTTCACAATTGATTACTTGCTGACGAGGGGAAAAAATCCATCACTATTTAGATTTCGTATTACTACAGTGTTTAGACTTACAATATTGGTGCAATTTTAGGCATCACATTTTGTTTTTCAAAGTTAATAGATCAAAGTCTTTTATGAATAACTTAAAAGCAAGTAAAATGAAGGGAGAAATGTTTAAAAATTGAAATCAACACAAAATCAAAAGTTTCATCTTATTTCTTGAATGTTCAATAAAATAAACGAGTCAGGTTCTTGACATTACTGCCCACAAAATGTAAACATGAAACTATATTTTTAAGAAAAGCTTTTTGTTTTGAAGCCCACGTGAAAGCAGCCTTCCGTGGTCAGAATTACCCAACTCAGCAAATATGAGTCAGTGTTTGACTGTGGTTGAGAAGCTGTATATAAGGAGGGAGCACTGCAAGGAACGGACACAGCAAGGGAGAGAAGCACCTCTTTTCCTATTAGAAGCAGCCAGCTGATCACTCGAGACAGAATGAGATCTTTCCTCCTAGCCATTGCGATCGTGCAGATCCTGCAATGTTTAGGTACGTACGAGAGAGAGCAATGCTTCAACAGCCACCGCTTTACGTTAACCAGCTCACACTCATTCCATATCTCACCAGCGCAGGGAGAAGACATCACTGTAGAGAATTCAGAGCACATGCCTTACAAGCCTCACGTTGGGACTTGGAATCATATAGTCTAAGCTGATATTCCAGTGTAGTGCTGGGGGTGTGTTGCATTGTCAGAGATGCCGTGTTTCAGATGAGATGGTAAACAAAGGTCCCAGGTACATTAAAAATTCCATGGCGCTTTTCAAAAAGGGTAGGGAGTGGCCCAACCAATAATCCTGCAAATAAGTGTCTTATTATTATTATATGATCGTTCAGATGCTGTCCAGTCAGTGACAAAGAGAAATAGTGAATATTCCCCATGTGTTTTGTTCAATGTCCCATTTCTTCCCCACAGGTGTACCGAGCCCTGAGGCTGCACTGAGAACATCGCTTATGAAGCTGAACGAAATGACTGACACCCCCAATCTCTGCGGTGTTACCGAGGGCCAACTGAGAGATGTAAGTAGTGCCTAACAAACATTGCTAAATGGCATTACGGTGTTGCAGTGGTTCAACAAGAGTTAAACAATGCAGCTCTGGGTAACTGTCAGCCAGGAAAATCCTGGGTAAATCCTGGCTGAGCTTTTCCAATGATTGAAAGTAACAAATATAGCTGGAATGTGAAGCTCCTTTGCATCACTGAGAAGATTTGTTTCACGTTTGCAAAGCTGTTGACCATTTAGACAGATTGAATGCTGTAGCTTGCGATTCAAGTGGAAGCTATCTGTAATAGCACAAACAAGATGAATTCCAATACCAGTGTTCACTTTGTGTTACAGTCATAACACAATCCACACTGAGCTGTTATTTTAGCAATGGAGCAAGTGAGTGCCTGTGTACAGCTTGGTGTTTATAGAGTACGGGAATCGCAGTTGCCTTCAGAGTCTCCTGGACGCTGATCTCCACACTAAGCTCCTTGAGCTGATCACCCCCATCCTCACCCAGCTTCAATGGCTCTCCATCTCCAGGAAGTTCGGGTTCAAGATCCTTGTCCTCACCTATAAAGCTCTCCACAGTCTTGCTCCTCTCTACCTCTCCGACCTACTAAAACTTCACCAACCTGTCTGCTCTCTCCACTCAGCCTGCTCCATGTTCCCGTCCTGCCTGTTCCGCCGCAGGCGGTCACGCCTACAGCCTTTCTGCTCTCACTTTCTGGAACTCCATCCTGGAACCCCTCCATCTCGTCCCCTCCCTTGCCTCCTTCAAAGCTCGTCTGAAGACCTTCTTCTTTGATTCCTTTCGGTCATTTTCCCTCCTCCACACCCTTGCCCTCCACCCTTCTCTGATTCCAACCCCGAGCTCAGGTGCAAACCCCTCATTGCGCAATGCCTTGGGACATACTCCTGATGTGAAATGTGCTGCATCAATACAATTTGTTGTTGTCTCAGTCCTTAATAGATTGAGGGTTACAATCAGAGTAACTGCAAAGCCTAATGCTAATATGCAAGCCCTCAGGGTGTCATGTCACATAACAGGATAGGAGGCGCCAGTGACACTAAATATAATGCACCCTTTGTTCAGCATTGATGGCCATTCCTTTATTGCAGATTTCACCTACCGGAAAGTTCTCCTACAACGTGGACTTGGCATTTTCAGTCCGAGAAACCGTGTGCTCCAAAAATTCTGGGCTGGAATTCGACAATCCTACCTGCCACTTCCGGCATGCACAGGCCGCGGTGAGTATTGAATGCACAAATACCCTCCGCCAGATGTGTTTTTATCCTCATTGGTTTTCCCCAATTTTCCTTTGACTTCCTCAGTTGAAGCCCCATTTGACTTCTTTTTTCTTCTCACGGAATACAGTCCCATGGACAATTCTCCAGTATCTCTTCTAAACAGGCAAACTCAAGTCTGAGCATTGACTGTATTTGACCCCAGTGACCATTGAGACTGAGTCCATTCCTGCCTCACCTGACATTCCATGTGTCCCCTCTGGAACTCCATCGTAGAGGCCCTCTGCCTCACCCCCTCTCTTGCCTCCTTTAAGACCTGTTTTAAGCCCTTCCTTTTCAACCATGTCTTCAGTCATCTTCCCTCCTTCATTGCACCTTGCCCTCCACCCCTCTCTGATCCCAACTCACAACTCGAATACAAACCCCTCATTGTCCAGCATCTTGGGACATCATCCTGACGTGAAAGTCGTTATGTAAATGCAATTTAGTGTTGTTGTCATTGTTATTGTCCAGCAGCAGAAGATCACTGACCAGTGATCTGTCAGGGAGCCCAAGGACTGAGGCCAAATGGAGTCCTCTCTCATACCCTGGCTGTCACAGGACAGACCAGAGTTCAGAGTGGTTACTTTGCCAGTCTGTTTGGCTCATCTGTGGACTCCACCTTCATATCTGTGATAACTGGTTGCTAAATGGTAGATTAATCTTGAAGAACAAAACTCATTAGGTCCCAGGGCATTGAGATCCAATTCACTTATGTACCAGTAAAGAGGCTGGTTCCCACAAATGTTTTGTTTTTACCTGCTCACAACCCAATGCTCTACCTGCCACCTTTGCTCAGCTGGCTCCAGCTTCCTCCAATCCACCATCAGCAGCAGTGCTTTCAGCCACTACAACCACGACACTCTGAAATTCTTGGCCTCAATCCCTCCTCTTTGCCCTCTCCTTACCCATCTTCAGATCCCAGCTGAAGATCTTTCTCTTCGAACACACCTACTGTCAGCTCCCTTTTCCCCGGCTCAAAATCAAGCTTTACCATTGTTAAGTGCTCCAAGACACTACACATTTGAAGGGAGCTGTGTAAATGTCATTGTTGTTGTTGTTCTCCTCTAGGAAATAACTCATCAGTATCACAGGGCATCACAAGTTGACACTGTGATCGTATTCCATCATTTGTCTTTGTATCTCACAGGAGAAAGGGGTTTGCAAAAGTCGTGTTAAGTATTTAGCTGGTAAGGTGGTGGGCGTTGATGTGGAGTGTCAGGGCTTGAGGAAGGTGAAGAGCAACAGTGATTCATTGGAATCGAATGAAAGCTGGATAAAGGTGAGCTCACAATAAATAATAATAAGTAGAAACCCAGTTGTTAGTCGATAGGCAGATCGCTTTTTCGGTGTAATAATCTCTAAAAAACAAAATTGATCCCTCAATCCACAACTATTCGTAGGACATTCCTGTGCGCGATTGGCTGCCGCATTTCAGCCGCAAAACACGCTTTACAAAATATTCGTACGAAGTGCGTTGAGACGTCTAAATGAAGTGACAAGGCGCTATATTAAATGCAAGGATTATTGTTATTACAAAAAGTAATCAAAAAGCCAGTAAAGTGTTTGCCTTTATCTAAAGGGGGCTGGATACAAAGGTGAGGAAATGATACTTCACTTGTACAGAGCCTTTGTTAGACCACATCTGAAGTACTGTGATATGGGTTCTCAATCTTGATTAGTTTAGATATGACTGCTATAGTTTCACCAACTGGTGTTGTTTTACAATATTAATCCTTCCATTTGATGCAGAACCTTATCACAGCAAAACATTTTAAAGCATTTTGCAGAGATTTTCTGTAAAGTGTAGTCACTGTGTAGGTGAACCCAACCATGGATCTAAATTCAAGTATTTTTAATCTTTATTTAATTTAATATTTTTAATAATTTGCATAAACCAATGTCCCACATCTGAAGAACAGTGTCTCCAACAACGCAGCTATCCCCCAGAGTTGCAATGGAGTATCATCCAGGTTTTAATCCCAAAGACCCAATATGGAGCTTGCACCCACAGTCTTCTGACATAGACATGGGAGAGTGTTACTGACTGAGCCAGGCTGACACCCTATATTTATCAGTTCCAGTGTTGCTCAGTTTCTGCTCCACCTGGCCTTTCTCTTCAGAGGAGGAACTTAGTGGAGATGATAAGATAGCCTGAATTTGCATTGACCACACAATGTGACCTTATAGCAATTCTGAATTCCAAGACCAGGTGCCCTTTGATTTAAATATCTGACACTTCAACATGAAAGCATTATTTCTCAGCTCGTGCCATGTTAAATGTCTTGCTGGTGATTCTAAACCCGTTGACCGTATAAATGTTCTCAGTTTTTCCTATCACATATAAAATTTTATATTTCATTGCAGATGTATACCAAGTCTAGAAAAGCCAAGTCCAGAGAAACTGAGTCCAGAGAAGACCATTCCAGAGATATTGAGTCCAGAGAAGCCGAGTCCAGTGAAGACCACTCTAGAGATATCGAGTCCAGAGAAGCTGAGTCCAGAGAAGACCACTCTAGAGATATCGAGTCCAGAGAAGCTGAGTCCAGAGAAGACCACTCCAGAGATGTTGAGTCCAGAGAAGACCACTCCAGAGATGTCGAGTCCAGAGAAGCCGAGTCCACAGAACTTGAGTCCAGAGAAGATGAGTCGAGAGAAGCTGAGTCTAGAGCATCCAAGATTAGAACAGCCATATACAGGGCAGCCAAGTCCAGAACAGTCAAATCTCCAAGAGCCAAGTCGGTAGAGTCCAGAGAGTTTGATTCCCTAGAGTCCAGAGAAGCCGAATCCACTGAGGTTGAATCCAATGAAACTTCACTTGAGATTTCCAACGTAAGTATAAATTGGTGACATTTTCTCAGATGTCCATGTCCTCAACTCTAATTCTTACTGACAGTAAACATTACTGAAACCTGGATTAACTGAGAGCATTTGATAATTACATTTCTGTTCATTCAGTGTGTGAGCCTAGCTCAATTGGTAGCACTCTTGCCTCTGAGTAAGAAGGTTGTGGGTTCAAGCCCTACATCAGGACTTGAACTCACATTGTCTAAGCTGACATTTCAATGCAGCATTGGGGGCTTGTTACATTGTTGGAGGTGTCATCCTTCAGATGAGATGTTAAACCAAGGTCCTGTTTGCCTGTTCAGTTGTATGTTAAAGACCCCATGGTACTATTCAAAAAGAGAAGGGAGTTTCTCTCTCCGAGTGTCCGGGCTGACAAACCCCCAAATAAAATTGGTCATTTGTTTCATGACTGTTTGTGGGACATTGCTGTCTGCAATTGTGCTGCCCTGCTTGCCTACAGATTCATTTCATTTCACAGAAAATCCTGTGAAGTGCTTTGAAGTCCTTCTAACATGATAAAGCACTATCAAATGCAAAGATTATTATTATCATTATTGATATTATTCATTGGTTGCAGGACTGCTCACGAGCCAGATGCTAACAGCGAATGAAGTTTCTGAAGGCCACCCTCGGTATGAACACAACCTATGGCTCTCAGATGAAAATTGTCCTGAATGTGCTTTGTTTATTCTTGCACAAGAGGGTAACCAGACTTGCAATGTATAAAAAGTGTAAATTCTGTGATTTGTAAATATTCTGCCTTTCTGAAGTGCATTGTTGTCTTGCAGTCTATGTATCATAAATGTATTTACCTGAAATTCATCAAATCTCCTGTCTTTCATTTTCCTGATCAATTCGGTGTTCCAACACAAACAACACGCACTACTTGATAGACACTTGAACACGATTCAGCTGAGTTTTTATAAGTCACTGGTTAGGCCTCAGCTGAAGTATTGAGTCCAATTCAGGGCACCACATTTTAGAAAGGATATCAGGGCCTTGGAGAGAGTGCAAAGCTACTACATTGTTCTTAGAGCAGAGAAGGTTAAGGGGAGATTTAATAGAGATGTTCAAAAGTATGAGGGGCTTTGACAGAGTGAATAAGAAGAAACAGTTTCCACTTTCAGATGGATCGGTAACCAGAGGATACAGATTTAAGACAATTGACAAAAGGACCAGAGGGGAGATGAGGAGACATTTTTTTACGCAGAGAGTTGTTATGGTCTGTAATGCACTGCCTGAAAGGGTGGTGGTTTTGCCCCACCCAGGAATTGAACCCAGGTCCTCTTGCTGAATGGCCTCATTCTGTGTTGTAGAATTCTATAATTCAAAGAGTGTATTAGTCAACAGGCAATTTAACTGCAGAGGCAGCACAGCCAATCCCAATCCTATCCTCATCCAATGTCCAAAAACCTACACAGACACATTGCAAGGGTCTCTAGATAATGATCAGAGCAGCATTCTCGGCTGTATTTCCCCTTCAGGGTGTTTGGGTTTTTGTGGCTGCAAAGGGATGTAGGGAGATGGTAGGAAGTCATTGAAAAGTTGCCTAACACTAAAATCCATCACTAGCCACCTATGTAAGAGGGAAGCTCTTTATGGAGGCTCATAGTGTCATGGTTAGCAAGCGAGAGGATCTGGGTTTAATTCCTGAGTGGGCCAAAGAACATAAGAACATAAGAATTAGGAGCAGGAGTAGGCCATTCAGCCCCTCGAGCCTGCCCCGCCATTCGATAAGATCATGGCTGATCTTCTGACCTAACTCTAATTACCTGCCCTATCCCCATATCCCCTAATCCCTCTATTTTTTAAAAATCTATCAGTCTCAGCCTTGAAGATGTTCAAGGACTGAGCATCTACAGCCTTCCTAGGTAGTGAATTCCTTAAATTCACTATCCTCTGAGTGAAGAAATGTTTCCTCAACTCTGTTCTAAAAGGCTGACCCTTAATTTTAATACTGTAACCCCTGGTTATAGATTCTCCTACCAGGGGAAACAGACCCTCAGTGTCTACTTTATCAGCCCTTTAAGAATCTTATATGTTTCAATAAGATCTCCCCTAATTCTTCTGTACTCTAGAGAATACAGCCCTAGTTTATTCAGGCTATCCTCATAGGTCAGTCCCCTCATCCCAGGAACTAACCGAGTGAATCTACGCTGCACCCCTTCTAGGGCAAGTATGTCCTTTTTTAAATAAGGAGACCAAAACTGCACACAATACTCTAGGTGCGGTCTCACCAAGGCCCTATACAGTTGCAGCAAGACTTCCCTACTCTTGTACACTAAACCTTTTGCAATGAATGCTAATATGCCGTTCGCCTTCTTAGTTGCTTCCTGCACCTGCAAATTAACTTCTTGAGACTGGTGTACACCCAAATCCCTCTGAACACTACCACTGTCTAATTTCTCCCCCTCTAGAAAATAATCTGTTTTTCTACTTTTGCTACCTAGGTGAAGTTTCCTTATGTCTCCTTATACCTAGCAATAAGTGGGAACCTGGTTCTTAGTCAATTAGCGGATTGCTTTCCGGGGCTAATAATCCCTCCAAAAATATGTAGTCACTCAATCCACATCTGTTTGTGGGACACTGCTGTGCCCAATTGGCTGCCTCGTTTCGCCCACAAAATACACAGTCAATCTACTTTATAATATATTCTTTGAACTATCTCAGCGATGTGATAAGGTGTTACGTTAGGATAACTGTAGTCATAATAATCTTTGCATTTGATGCAGTACCTTTCATGTCGAGAGGTCATCTCAAAGTGTTTCACAGGATCTACTATAGTACTGACTGTGTGATTTGTGGGAGAATGTAAACCACTGGCAAGCCTCTGGTGGTGAACGCTGTTATGGAAGGAAAATTCTTAGAAAAGAGGAGACTGTGGTGTGGAGAAGGAGTAGAAAAACTTTTTGGAAAGAACATAAATGAAATTTCAAGTATTGGGTTCCAATGTCTGTCACTTACTTTGAGTCTCACAGAACAGCACTGAGTGTGGAGACAGAGATGGTTAGACTTGTCTGGTCTGTTCCCTGGTGGCAGAGGGCTGTGGTGGTTGCAAGAGGATAAAATAATTGCAAATGTATCTTTTTCATTTGTGTCCCCTCCATTTTCGTTTTTTATTTAGGATTTTTAGAACTAACCCCTGCTGCCATTCTCCCTCTAACAGTCAGGAAGGACCTGTATTTGAGTCATAGACATCACCCCATTTGATACCCAACGTGACCCATTTAGGTGCCATTCTTCAGATGAGACATTAAACTGTGGTCCCGACTGCTGGTTCAGGTAGATGTTAAATATCCCATGGCACTATTTGAAAAGTGAAGAGTTGCTCTCTTGTAGTTCTGACAAAGGGTCATGGACCCGATAAGTTGACTCACTTTCCTTTCTCCATAGATGCTGCCTGACCCGCTGAGTGTTCCCAGTGACTTCTGTTTTTGTTGCTAGTGTCGTGGCCAACAATTCCATAAAATAAATTGGTCACTTACTTCATGGCTGTTTTGGGATACTGCTGTGTGCAAACTGGCTGCTGCATTTCATCCACAAAATACACAGCTACTGCACTTTACATTATATTCTGTGAAGCACTTTGAAAAAGACCTGTTTCTGCCTTCCATCAGTGACAATGTTAGGTTTAGATTTAGGCTCGAGGGGCCGAATGGCCAATCCTGCTCCTAATTCCTATGTTCCGATGTTCCTATTTGGGGGGATCTTAATGCACAGATCTTGGTAGCCCTGTTCCCTGCCTCTGTGCCTTTTCTGGATCCTGTCCTTCCAGATCTAAGGAACCAAGGCCCACCAATTTCTGGCTATTCATCATTTGCTGCTGTCTCGCACTACGTTACTGAGTGTGTGAAATGCTGGCAATTTGCCTCACAGAGTTATGAAATATGTAGGTAATGTAACAGCATTATGAAATTGCAACAAATGACTGATGATTTACAGGTGCAATATAAGCCCCAGTATAAACAGGCAAACATTTTTCAATGGCACAAACTATTCCTTTGGTAAGATCAGTTCAGTCCACTTGGCTTTCCTCAGAGCTCCTTCCTCCCCTCGGCTCAAAATTCTTTTATGAATTCCACCACTGTCCAAACACCAGAAGCTGGCAAAGACTCCAGAGCTTGAGAATTCTACACTTCCCGAAAGAGGCTCATGCAAAAGCCAGAGCCATCTCGTGGTTGAAAGTCCACTGTTGTTAACCCCTCAAGTGATACGTCAACCATTCCTAAGAGCCTTCACAAAATGGGCTTTGTTGACACTATGGGGTTGAGATTCTGTTACACAAATACATTTTGACATCGGGGCTTTGGGGTCTCATTAACAAGGACTGAGTCTCCCCCGTTTAAATGCAATTTGAAATGGCATTTTTTGTTTTGGTCAGCCAGTCATCTGACACCTGCAGAAACCCATCAGCTTGCTTAAGAGTCTCCAAACCAAACTGAGAATTCCATGCATCCCACCTACAAATGGAAATTCCAGAGATAAATTGTTGGAATGGAATGTACACTCTCTCCATTGAGGAACACATCCTCCTTACCTAATTCTTGAGGGTACTAAGAGTACTAGGTGCAGGATGGCACGAGCCACGGTCAAAGAGAAAGATCTTCAAGTGTGATCCGAAAAAGGGGAAGGGGGTGCCAAGGTGAAGGGATTGTGGGAGTTCAATTTCAAGGCATAGTAGCTTAAAGCATGGACGCCAATGGTGGAGGAGAGGGAACGTGGGACAAGTAGGAGGCTGATGCCAGCTGAGTAGAGGTAGTGGGTGGTGGAATGGGGATTAAGATCACAGGTTAAGCCAATGCATCAAGGGATTTGTAGACAAAGTTTGGGTCTGGAGAGATTCAGGCATTTGATTTTTCCAGTGTCTCCAATACCATCCTGTAAAACTGACCTGAAACCCAGAGCATGCAGTAACAACAATAACTTGCATTTATATGGAGCTCTCCATGCTGGGCAGCATCCCAGAGTGCTTAACAATGGTGGAGCTCAATACCGAGCTCGGGAGAGGGGGAAGGTGACTTTAGGCACGGTCAAAGAGGAGGGTCTTCAGGTGCAACTTGAAAATGGGGAAAGAAAGGGCAAGGCAAAGGGATTGAGGAAGGGAGTTTCATAGCTTGGGCTGAAGGCACAGCTGCCGATAGTGGAGCGGAGGATTCAAGGGACAAGGAGGAGGCCGGAGCCAGTAGAGGCAGTGGTTAGTGCTGCGAGGAGAGAGGAGGTTGGAGAGGAGGAGAAGTAGAGTTGAGTGCCATCCGCATATGTGCGGATGATATCACCGAGAGGGAGCACATAGATGAGGAATAGAAGTGCCAATGAGTTTTAAACACAAAGTAGGGATTTGATTGGGCTTTACCCAGAAACCAAGTAGTTATAAAAATGGATAGTTTAGTCAAGAATGATGAGATGCAGATCTGAAGAACTGCCTGTTGCCCTCCCAGGAAGAGATCAATGATCTTGATTCTCTGATAACCTAGTTGCTTCCATTATCGCATATACTGGCAGTGGGTTGTTGCTCTTTGTATAAATTATTGACTGTGGAACTATAATAAAGGAAACAATTGTTTAGCATCCAAATTGAGTGCACAATATTTCATCATTACAACACAACTTGCATTTTTATAGCCCCCCTCATGCAGAGTAGCATCCCAAAGTGGTTGACAGTGGCGGAGCATGACCGTAAGCCTTCAGCTCTTCAGGTGCAATCTTAAGATGGCTAAGGCAGAAGAAGAGTGTTCCAGAGTTTCAGGCATAGTGGATGAAAGCGCAGCCATCGATAGTGGAA